GGGCTAACTTGGCTCAAAGTACCATCGGCATATCTTGATTCATTGACTTTGATGAGTCCAACCCGATGATGGTCCCGGTTAAAACTTAAAAGAGTAATTCTAGACTAGATGAATATATTTTTAAATATTTTTTCAAAAGATTAAAGGTGACAAATACTTAATTAGAAAATTTAAATTAGATTTTCAACACTCCTTTAACGGTATGTTGACTATTTAACTAAATAGTCTAAAGAAATTTATTTTACAAAAGCAAAGTTGTACCGTTGAAATAAATATTTTCAAGATACGTTAAAGCTTTAGTAAATACGGAATATAAGATATGGCAAGGATAGAAAGGTAAAGTGTATAAATGTAAAATGACACGAGAGATTTTATAGTGTTTCAGAAATGATGTAATCTTTTTACTCCACTTTTCTCCTATCAATTGGTATCTACTCAATACCATAAGATCTCAACACCCTTAAGTAGCCTAGAAACTGATCCGACTACCTAGCTATAGTCTGGGCTGGTCAGTTCGCAGATCGTTTGACAAAAGATAAAAACACGTGAGTAAACTCACTCAGTAGGTTTTTAATAACTCTAAGGATTAAACTGTAAACTGGCTTGAATACCAAATGTAAGTACATAATCCACATTAAACACTTAATATGTGGCAATAAACGTAAACCCAGCCACTAACCTCCAGCCATATATAGCTTCAATTCTTAGTTGCTTGAGTCCTTTGTCTGTTGAGGATGAGTTCCTCGGACTACTGTGAAATCACCGTGAACAAGGAAGAGTTTCTCTCACTTCTCTCAGTATGTACTCTTGATGGTGTATGAGTCGTAAACTGAGCAATGAGATGACTTAAGAGTCTATATACCCACATCTAATCAATGTAGGTAACCAAATACTAATACTTAGTCAGCCTAAATAATTTGCACCACATAAATTATTATTATTATTATTATTATTATTATTATTATTATTATTATTATTATTATTATTATTATTATTATTATAATATAAAGGAAAACGTTACATTATCTCACTTGGAGCAAACGTGAAACCCCAAGAACAAGATTACACCAACTATAATAATATGTCATCATTAGCGCGAGTAGTATCCATTATGATCAAATGCAAGTTGTCTTCGAGTACTTAATTAGGTAATAAAACTTAATGAAGCAAAACATATATTAGATTTGGTACTACATATTTATGTGCCGGTACATTCTTTCGAATTCTAATGGACCTTCAATACCTGACTTAGCAATTATAAAAATCATTTAAACAAGTGGCATGCACCTATTGTTTTAAATTATAGAGGATTGAGTAACGCGTGTCGTATTGCATAGAGACTACGATACGATAGTACTAGTATTAGCTACTATAGTTGCAAATATATATATATATATATATATATATATATATATATATATATATATATATGTGTGTGTGTGTGTGTGTGTGTGTGTGTGTGTGTGTGTGTGTGTGTGTGTGTGTGTGTGTGTGTGTGTGTGTGTGTGTGTGTAATGACAAAACAATTAGAAAAAAAGACTAATCAATAACAAAGAGAAGTAAGAAAAATACAAAACATATATAATTAAGAAAATCAGCTAGTGAATGAAATGGTACTTGAACCTATCCCATAGGACTTCATTGATCACAATAAATAAATTGTTGGTCCGAGTTTGATAAGGTAAAAGTCTAGGGAGGAGTTAAGGTTGGGGTGAAAAGACTTTTATAATTTCTTTTAAAGTGAGTGAATTTTGAAAGGTTTTAAATAAATTGTTTAACTAATGAAGTTAATTGTTCAAGACCACCTTAAAGATAATATTCATTTCTTAAATTAATTAGTCAAGTCTAAAATAGAGTTAAAAGAGTAAAAGTATAGTCTGGACGAAAAGATTTTTAAATATATTTTCAACAGATTAAAGGTGACAAATACTTAATTAGAAAATTTAAGTTAGATTTTCAACACTCCCCTTAAGCCTTAAGGGAAAATTAAAAATGCTATTCTCTATGTTCGCACATGTCTTGGTTCGTGGGGATCCATGATCAGGCATGTTTATCGTGAGGCTAATCGCGTAGCTGACTCCCTTGCATCGGTTGGTGTTAATGCTGGATCATCTCAGCTTTTTTGTACTCTCAATTCTTTACCGGAACAAGCCAAATTGGCTCTTTTGTTTGATCTTAAAGGCTTCGCCTCTCTTCGGAACATTCGTCATTAATAAAAGTTCTTGACTTTTGATTAAAAAAAATGAAATTGTAGTTATATCAAAATAATATTTTAGTTGTGTTGAAATGAAACTGCAGTGTATATAAAATGAAACTGAATAACAGTTTCACATATTTGAAAGTATATTGTCTAATGAAACCATAGTTGAATTAAATTATAATTTAGTGGTGTTGTAATAAGACTACAATGTGTATAAAATAAAATTTAATAACAGATCTCACTATAATAAGACTACTATATGTATAATGTCAAATGAAAATGTAGTTGAAACAAAATGAAAATTTAGTTGTGCTGAAATGAAACTACAATGTATATAAAGTGAAATTGAATATGTTATACAAACAGAACTAATTACACGTAATGGGTGCCATTTCTTTTCATTAAAAGAAACGACACCGTTTTGGACCATAGTCCATAATAAAATTTGCTCGCGGGTATTATAGTTATGCGCCAATCGTTATACCCTACACCACGGCGCGCGTAGCACTGTGTGCCGCGCGTCTCCCAAAACGATGTCGTTTTGGGGTCGTTTGGGAGGCGCGGTAGGAAGTTGCTGTGATTATGTATATTTGTTCACACAATTATGCATATTTGTTCATACAATTATGTATATTTGTTCATACAGTTATGTACATTTTTTATACAATTATGTACATTCTTTTTATACAATTATGTACATCCGAATCAGAAAATTTGTGTGTATTATGTTAAGAGTTGATGTGTATTATGTTAAAAGTTTATGTTTATTATGTATTATGTTAGATTATGTGTATTATCTTTTAAAAAGAGCATGTATATTTTGTTATATAATTATGTACATTCATGTATACAATTATGTGTATTCTAGTATAACATTATGTATATTTTTGAACAGGGTTTTTTTTTTTTTTTAAAGAAAAAATAACTGCCATTCACTGGGCGGGAAATTAAAAAAAAAAAAAAAAATTAAAACGACATCGTTTTGTATCTAGGCGCACAGTGTTGCACGCGCGCCGTGGTGTAGAATATAAATTGCCGTTATGCGCTACAATATTTATGTGTTGGGCTAATTTTGCTCAACTACCATCAGCCCATCTTGATTCATTGACTTATCATGAGTCCAACCTGGTGATGGTCCCTGTTTAAATTTAAAAGAATAAAAATCTAGTATGGACGAATAGATTTTTAAATATTTTTTAACATATTAAAGGTGACAAATAATTAATTAGAAAATTTAAGTTAGATTTTCAACACTCCCCTTAAACCTTAAGGGGGCGTTTGGTTCAGGTTATATAACATAACCAAGGGAATGTGACATTCCAAAGCTCACATACCTATGTTTGGTTCACATTATCTCAGGGAATCTAACATTCCCCAGGAATGTCACATTCCCTCCACATAGGATTTTGAAGGGAATGTGATTCCCTTCAATTTCTAAGGTTATGTAAGATAACCTTGGTTATGTTAGTTTATTACACACACACATGTATATATAATTATTTTTGTAATTATATATTTGTTTATTTTTATTATGTTAGGTTAGCATATAAAATAATTTTGTTTTTCAAGTTCAATATTTTAGTTCATATTTTAAAATCATGTAATTATATATGATACCGTTATCTTATTTATTTATTTTAATTTTTAAATTTATTAAAATATATGAAAATATGTTAAGGATATTATAGTGTGTGAATAAAAGATAACCCTAAACCAAACATGATTATATTACATACCCCAATTTTAACCAAACACAGGAATCTAACATTCCCAGTAATTTAACATTCCTAGCAATCTAACATTCCTTAAGGTAATCTGACATTCCGTGAACCAAACGACCCCTAAGGGTATGTTGACTAATTAATTAAATAGTCTTAAGGAAATTTATTGTACAAAAGCAAAATTGTACAGTTGAAATAAATATGTTCAAGATACGTAAAAACTTTAGTAACTACGGAGTATAAGATATGGCAAAAGGTAAAGTGGGTAACTGTAAAATGTGACAGAGAGATTTTAAAAGTGAATGTGAAAGTGCTTTCAAAAATCAAACAATATTCTCTGAATAGAAAACTTCCAAAAAAAACACAGTTTGATTTGACAGAAAACTTCAACAGCATGTTTCTAAAATATTCTTATCCTTGGTGAACTTGAGGCATTTCATCAAATGGAAAGAACAAACAAATTGACAATGAATGGCGAACATCATAATAGAGAGGGCTAGTCCGAGTCAGTGGAAGCATCATTGTGAGAATCCGAGGTGCGGTTGTTGGCAAGAATTCGAGCCATCCCTTCCAATCGTGCTATTTCATTCAAGTGGGTACCCAAGAGATTCTCCAGACCAGTAATGGTAGCCTGAAGAGAAGCTGCAATCTGCCTATGAGAAGCCAGTAGTGTTGAAGGATCCTCAAACTGAACGGGAAAGACCCGGGCCTGAGAGGAAGCCATCGCGGGGGCTGCTGGACCACTCGGCCGAAGCAATGATTTTCCACGCACTATTGCCTCGTCTTTCCAATTTCTTGGCTGTGGTGTTGACCATTTTCTCTGAAATCCAAACCAAACATACATACATACATATATACTCAAATTAAGACAAAAAGCTAAGATTTCATCACTTATACTTGTTCAAATCCTATACCTTTGGCTGCTGGGTGTCATCATTGAGCAGCTTTGGGTTGTGTTTTGGTGGTTCCACAGCTTTCCCAGACACAACTTCTAAAATGGTAGGAAGTTCATTTATCATATTGAAAAGACGAGTCCTGTAACAGCAGATTGATAGAGCAATGAAAATTTATCAAATTACTTCATTCAATTCTTTCCCTTTTCAATATATCAAAAACATACTTATCAGCTTTGTCATGGCCAAGACTTGAACTAAAAGAGAATGCAACAGCAAGTAGCCATATGTCACTGTGAATTGCAAGCATAGTGAGCCACTCCCTTTTCTCCATTCTTTCTCGAGCAAAGTTAATGCCGCTATGGGGTTGAGGAAGCTCTCCATGCATTCCTCTTCCTGCAAAATTCACTTCCCATTCTTCACCTGGATGTCCCATAAGGAAAAGCTTCCCATTCCGACCTGCAATTACAACCCCAAACTTAACACATTTCAATTCTTTCCATCCATCCATGCATTATATATATATATATATATAAAAGGAATTATCATATATACGCAAATCTGAAGAGCCTGGCTAATTACTGAAAAATATAATCAAGAACGTGAATGTTTGTTCATCAAGAAAAGAAAAGATTATTTCAAAGAACATATATATATAGCATGTATATATATATCTTGCACAAGAAGAGAAAAAAGAAAGCTTTACCTGGGATGTCACACCGCCTATAAACTTCATCAAAATCTGGAAAAACGCATAAAGATCGAAAAACCTTTATTAAGTAAAAATGGTTTCTTTTGATTAAAGTAATTAAAGATGCAATATGGAGCAGTAATTAAGCACCTGTAGTGAGAGCTGTGAGTAAGGCAGTCCTTCGACCCTTGAATTCTTTGAAAACCTCTTCCACGCTTCTTGGATTGAAATGCTCCATTGCCCCCTTCCGCTGCTTTCTTGTTCTGATCTATTTGGGTGTTTATATACAGAAACGTATAAAATACGAGAGAGAGACACACAGAGTTTAAAAAAAGACAAGTGTTTTGGGAGGGAAATAGAAAATTTGACCTTATAACAGATAGAGGATCAGAGCACTGCATGGAGAGGGACTTTAATTTGAGGGGTTGATACTAGTACGTAGGGAAATCTATTATAATTATCTTTATTGCTCAAAATTTTTAAACGTTATTTCTTGAAATTTTGTAAATATATTATCATGTTTTATAATTATGCAACGTGTATATTTTTATTTGGAGCAACCCCAATCAAGTTTGTTGGGTTGTTAATTAGCTTGATAACCACAAAATTTTAAGTTTAATTTTCATCCAGAGCAATCTATTGATCTTCTATCTCTGAGACCACTACTTTGGGGACAAAAAACATATCAAAACTATGTCATTCGTTTCGTGATTTAATGCATTAATATATATTTTCTCTTGAAAAAAAAAAAAAAAAAAACTATGTCATTCGTTTATTTATTTAGAAGAGATATACAGAGTTGTGCTAGGTTACATAGACGTGATCAGGTAAGGTTAAAAATCAATTGTTATACTACAGACCACGAAATTTAAATTATGTATATGTAGTGTGAACATATTATGGAATACATACCTTCAATTAATAAATTATGTATTTTTCAGTTCATAAATTATGTATATAATACTATTTAACACATTATATACTTCAGTTAGTTTATTGACATGTACATACTATATTAATTGAATGTACATAATTTAAATTTCATTTTAGATCACGATACACATTATGAAACTTCCATTCTCGTCCCTAGTCACACTGCCAAAACTCATCTAAGAACTACATTGATCGGAGTCCACACTATGTCACCATAGAGGTTAATGGTGTAAGGAGCCGAAAATTATGGATTGTAGAGTTACAGCTGCAAAGTAGATGTTTTTAGAAAGATAAATTTATAACTAAAGAGGGAATGGATGATAGAAAGGATTTTGGATTTCAATACATATATGCACACCCTCCTACACTATGTGGTGGGTGTCTCGTTATAGATTCATCATTTTTATACTGTAGATTCATAATTTCTATATTGTAGATTCATAAAATTTATACTGTAGATTCATAATTTCTAAATCGTAGATTTATAATTTAAATACAGTAGATTCATAATTTCTATAATGCAGATTCATAATTTATGTACTGTAGATTCATAATTTCTAAATTGTATAGTTATCAAATTATGAACATATAGTTATGTGATTTGTGAATACAAAGTTCAACAATTGGATATATGAACATCAAAAATTATGAACATATAACTCTATAATTAAAATAAAATTTTTGAGACCTAATTTTCTAACTTGTTTGGTATCATCAAAATCAAAACCTATATATACTCATTTCTTCTGGTTGATTTAAATAAACTTTGTAAATTTTAACTTTTCATTGATTTTTAGCGCATAATTTGAGTTTAACACTTAGATAATTCCTAGAGTAAACATAAGTAAACTTTAAGTAAAATAGAATGAACTTTCCACTAGATAATCAGACTATTACAAGTACAAGTTCATCACAAAGATAAAATATAGGAGTAATAAAATAAAAAATATCAGGCAATTACATAAAATTGCCTTTTTTTTTTTTTTTTTTTTTTTCAGATTCTTTCCTAGCTTCTTTGATTCTATCAAGTTCTTCATTTATATAGTACTTCATCTTGTAGACTTGTACTGATGATGATCACACTTTCACCTCTTAACCTTTGAAAAGCTTATGAAATATTGAAGCTAATATAATTCTCGAAAGTTTCCTTCAATTCATGCATGTTTTGTCCATCCAAAACACTTCCACCAGTTGGTGATACATTCACATGTTTTCCTCCTATCTGCCAGTGCAATATAATATTATGTTCTTTGATGGCATTATATTGCTCCTTAGAAATTTTCTTGATTTATGAGGTCAAGGAGTCGGCAAATTATACTATGGACCAAGGCCTACCTTGCGTTGTACGTAGACCATGGTCCAAAAATAACATTCAGATTTTGTATCTATAGTTGACACATTCTGTACATACAGTTGATAGTTTCTATACCTACCCGTAGCTATTATATTCTATGTCAGCAATTATAAAGTCAGATTTTGTATCTATAGTTGATACATTATGTACCTACAGTTGATAGTTTTTATACTTGTAGCTATCATATTATGTGTCAGCAATATAATTATAAGCTATTTGTTTACATGTACTAGAACTGTTAAATGTAGGTACATTAACGGAAGGTACATAATTTTTGTACAACGTGGAATAAGAATTGCAAGGAGTCATGTTGGACTGGTTGAGAACTTTGCGCCTGAACTTGGAAATGTGGCTTCATTTGTAATCTCAACATCATTAACATAAAAATCAGTGGCATCGAGATTATGTACTGTGGTTTAATAATATATAAGGGTTTAATTATTTTTAAATTTGATTTTTTGTATTTAATAGTATGTTAATGTAATATCTGAATATATAAATAACTCTAGCCAAGACTCGGTAACTAAACCAGACAAATAAAATGAGACAGAGAGAATAGTATTCTATGCCGTTGTACTTAAACATGCTAGTAAATTTATCTTGCTCTAGGCTTGTGCCTCGTGGATTCTGGGTCATTACATGATCACTGTCATGATACACATACTCCAGTTCCATAGTAAAGTATAATTTTCAAAGTCGAACTTGAGCATCCAATTAAACTGGAAACTTGAAAGGTATGTTTGGTGGTGTTGGCCACTTTCTCTGAAATCCAAACCAAACATACATTAATATATACTCAAATTAAAACAAAAACATTTCATCACTAATAAAAATTTAAATCCTAAACCTAAGGACCCCTCATCCCGTATTCTGGAAAGTATAAGAAGAGATCAATCTCGAAATGTGTCTTAGACTTTGCTTCTTTCTCAAGCTAAGATCCTTTTCCATTGAAATTCAAACCCAATTGTTGGGCACTACACCCACACTCAATCTAAGAGCATCACCATAAGTGATTTTTTCTTTATTTTTCAGACATTTTTGCCACATGAAAAAAATTAAAGAGAGGAGAGAAAGGGAGTGGGTTCTTCAGACCCAAGTTTTTTCAGATTTGTGAGCCTCACCAAAAGAGAGAGGGGTGGCTGCCAACTCGCGTGAGGCGCCCAGCCTGGCGCGTGATAGGCACGTAAATACAATTTTTTTCAAGCTTGTTTTATTCCATTTTTTTTTTTCATATTTTCCTCTTTCCTCTCCCCTATTTGGCACTTCAAAAACCAATCCAAAAAACCTCACTATTAAGAATGTCATAATATATACCTTTGGCTTATTGCTGTCATCATTGCGCAGTTTTGGGTTGTGTTTTGGTGGTTCCACAGCTTTCCCAGACACAACTTCTAAAATGGTAGGGAGTTCATTTATCATATCGAAAAGCCGACTCCTGTAATAGTGAAAATTTATCAAATTAGTTCATTCAATCCTTCCCCTTTTCAATATATATATCAAAAAAAAAAAAAAACATACCTATCAGCCTTGTCATGGCGAAATCTTGAACTAAAATTGAATGCAACACGAAGTAGCCATGTGTCACTGTGAAGTGCAAGCATAGTAAGCCACTCCCTTTTGTCCATTCTATCTCGACCAAAGTTAATGCCCCTAAGGGGTTGAGGAAGCACTACATGCATTTCTTCTTCTGCAATATTCACTTCCCATCGTTCACCCGGATGTCCAATAAGGCAAAGCTTCCAATTCTGAGCTGCAATTACAAACCCAAACTTAATACATTTTAATTGTTTACACACACACACACACACACACACACACACACACACACACATATATATATATATATATATATATATATATATATATATATATATATATATATATAAACACTGGATCAAATGTGTACGGTACTTTCCATGCCATTGGTGTGGATTTTAGTATCCATAAATGCACCACACATTGTTTAAAAATGCACTATAAATGTGTACGTTACTTTCCATGTCATTGGTGTGGATTTTACCATCCATAAATGTACCACACAGTGTTTAAAAATGCACCTTACACCAAAAAGTGCACCACATCTCACCGCATCTAATGGTACAGTTCCGAATATATATATGGGGAAAATTGATCTTTGGTCCATGTGTTATGCTAAGTTCGGACTCAGTCCCTGAGTTATGACCGTATTTATTTTATTTTTAGTCCCTCAGTTATGAACGAAGTTGCACTGGTCCCCGATCCCCGATCTTCTAACGGAAAAATTTAAAAATATAAAAATTTGAGGGGTAAAGTAGGAAATTCACATTTTATTCTCCTTATATCAAAATCACTTTCAAACATTATTTTTCACTTATTAGCCTCTTATTTCAAGATTGTTCAATTCTAAAGGCATTTCAATTCAATAACTTTAGTATAACTTGTTAGGAATCTAGCTCTAGTATACAAACTTAAGACTTAGCACAAACGAAGAAACACTTCATCATTGTCTTAGCAACAAAGGTAATCAAACCAGAACTTTTGAGATACAAAATGATGTCAAATTTCTCAAGTTGCTTTCATGAGAAAATTCACCAACAGAATAACTTGAGATTTTTAGTATGTAATTTTTTTTTTCATATTAGTAGTTTAGTCAATAATAATTGTTTTTAAAAGTTACAAAAGTTTTTAGAATTTTTATTACTAAGCCTTAAGTTCCCCATTCATTACTCTGGTTAAGACAGATGATGTGATATATATATATATATATATATATATATATATATATATATATATATATATATATATATATATATATATATGCAAATCTGATTGAAGAGCCTAATTACTAAAACAATATAATCAAGAGCGTGAATGTTTGTTCATCAAGACTTAATTTGGACTGTGTTGCAAAGAAAAGATTATTTCAAAGAACATAGCATATATGTATCTATATCTTGCACAAGAAGAGAGAAAAGAAAGCTTTACCTGGGTCACACTGCCTATAAACTTCATCAAAATCTGGAAAAACGCATAAAGAAAAACCCCAGCTCATTCCTTTATTAAGTGGTAGAAATAAATGAAGTAATAATGGTTTCTTTAGATTTAAGTAATACGTACCCTTAGTGAGAGCGCTGAGTAAGGCAGTCCTTCGACCCTTGAATTGCAAGAAAACTTCTTCCACGCTTTTTGGGTTGAAGTTTAGAAGTGGGTCCATTGCCCCCTACTGTTGAGAGAGACGCACAGTTAAAGAAGCGAGGAGTAAAAGATTAGAGATTGAAGAAAAACTAAAAGTGCTTTGGGAGGGAAATACACAAAGGAGATACAGAAGATGTGTGGGGTTGGTACATGGAGTTCTATTAGAATTAGGAGTCATATCTATTTATAGAGATAAAAAACATATATAATTTCAAAATATTTTTGAAAAATAATAATAGAAGATTACCATAACTAAGGTAATTGAGTCCGCATTCAAAAAAAAAAAGGTAATTGAGTCCAAATCAGTTTGAACTTCATGTTATTGTATTCTACTAGTATTTTGCTCATCCAATGCACTGACTAAAGATTTGAAATATTAAAATTATGTTATGTTATTAAATACTTACTATTATTCAATTTCATGACGTTTATTTATTTATAAAATTTTGTTATTTAATAATTATGTTGAATTGCTATGACAAAATTATGAATAAATATATTTACATTTAAAATAAAAATTGATAATTAAGCTGGGTGATTACTAAAAATAATAAATTATATTAAAAGTTTAATACATAGTATTTAAAATTACAATTTTTTAAAAACTTAATAAACTACATTAGTAGTTGAATTATAATTTTCAAAGTCACCACCGATCAAAAATTTTAGACCTTTGAAGTTTCTAACTAAGGAACATACACTTGAACTTTAAAAAAAAAATATTTGTTTCCATTCACCTTTATTTGTACATTCACTCCATACTTCAACAACCATAATTTTTTATAGAGTTAATACCCAAAATCGTCCTCGACTATAGTGGTTTTTCTCAATTTCGTCCTAAACGACTTTGGTGATCTAATATCATCCCAGACTTTTGTGTTTCGCTCAATTTAGTCCCAAATTTTTGTGTTTTTGCTCAATTTAGTCCCTCATTTGTTATTCTGTCCATTTGGTGTTAAATAAATAGACAATTCAGTAATTTTAATATTGGCATCTCTTTACTCATAGACATGTGAACTGCGAAATCTTTTTTTTTTTTTTACGAATTACTCCCAGAATTACTCCTAAAACTGCAAATATAAAATTTGATTTGCAGGTCCGGAAGTATTTCTGGGTGCAATTCGTACAAGAAAGAGGAATTTCGCACTTCACAAGTTGAAAGTAAAGAGAGATCAATATTGACATTACTGAATTGTCCCTTTATTTAACACCAATTTGACGAAATAACAAATGGAGGACTAAATTGAGCGAAACATGCACAAAAGTCTGAGACGATATTAGGTTACCAAAGTCGATTAGGACGAAATTGAGAAAAATCACTATAGTCGAGGATGATTTTGGGTATTAACTCATTTTTTATATCTTAAATTTATAAATTTCAATGTCATTAGTTCCTTATATTGTAATCGTAATGTACCACATATATTATATGTTCAAGGTATTTTCATTCGATAAGCCCATGAATATACTATATCTACTATATCTACTATACTAATAAGAGTCCAAGAGAGTTAGACCTATAATGGGTAGAAAAAATGGCGGTCAAGTTTTTTAATCAAATGAATGGTTTAGATTGATCAGATTTTAATTATTCCTTGAGATTTCTTAATTTATCCTTAATGAATATGATTATCTGTTAAATTTTCCGTTAAATATTTCTTTTCTGTTAGTTTCTGTTAGTTCACCGTTAACTTACTCATTGATTTTAATAAGAAAGGTCTCAGGTTCGAACCACATCCCAATCAAATTAAAGTTGGCATAATTAGTACTCTATTTTACTCTTATTAAATTATATAATTAATAATTTAGTATCTACAACAAAAAATAATACATATGCATTTCTTTAATTTACAATTATGTGTGTACTATGTCTTTATTCAAAAAAATTTATTCATTATCAATAAATTAAATAAGAGAAATAATTTCATTAGTTATATTGTCTTTATTTTTTTTTCAATGTAAAAATTCTTTACATTCAAATTAATCAATTAATTATATTCACTACATTGTCTATTATCTTTTTTGTGCACTATTTTTTAATTAAATATCAAAGTTATAATACAAAATAATGCTATATATTTATTTACCAAGTAATTTATTAATACCATGAAAAAATTAAAAATTAAAAAAAAACATAATTAATAAAGCCAGTCATATTAACTACTTGAGAGATTTGTTGACAAAGAGAGTATTCAAATCACACAACAAATTGAAGTGAGAACTACATCGCAATTTCCTTGTTTGATAATCAACAGTTAGCGGATTTGACCAGCGAATTATATCAACGATTGGTAAAAAGGTATTTGAAAAAATTAGCCGTTTAGATTAACATGTAAAATGACCTAAGGGTATACATATATTTCATAATATTAATAATAATAATAATAATAATAATAATAATAATAATAATAATAATAATAGTAATAATAATAATAATAATAATAATAATAATAATAATAATAATAATAATAATAATAATAATAATAATAATAATTTTTATAAAAAAATTTAAAAAAAGTATAATTAAGCCAATCATATTAACTACTTGGGGGATTTATTGACAAAAAAAGTATTCAAATCACACTACAAATTGAAGTGGGAAACTATCTCGCAATGTCCTTGTTTAGCCATCCGCAGTTAGCCCTTCAATATTAGTATATATTTAATATTTTATGCCCTAATTTTTATTTGCTCTCCCTTATTTCCCGTATTTGGTTTCAACCATACGCATACATTTATTTTATTGACAATTATAATTAATCTTAACTATATTATCTTGCATTTGTAAACTTAGAATTACCTATTTAAATGCGCAAATTCAACATTTAATTATCTATGCATGAACAATTCTAATATAATCTTGCATTGATATATTTTATAGTACTTATTTATATATATAAAAAATATTGGGCATTATCTCAATCGCGCAATGCGCGTAAAAAAACTAGTATATATATATATATATATATATATATATATATATATATATATATATATATATATATATATGTATATATATATATAATCTATATAAGACCAACTAATTATTTATAAATATGAATGCCTATTAATCACTATCACCATTTTCTAAATAAAAAAAATCCAAAAAATTTAAAAGTACAACACTACTTGCATACATTTTTATAAAATCTAACCGGATTAATTAACTAAAAATATAAATGCCTTTTCGAGAGAAGGTGACTTGGGTTTGATCGGCCTTCTCCTTCTCGAAGTATATATACACACATACTTTCAGAAGTTAGGGTTGCATTGATTGAAGCCGCAACACTCGATCTATACTGAAAAGATACACATCTCTGATTTTTATGCATCTTTTCAAGACAATGTGTTCATGGTGATTATGAAGATGAACTTGAGAAGAATCAACACTGCTTAAACAATTGGACGCGAAGATCACTCAGTTGTGGGAACAACGTGGGGCTGCATCATTGAAGCGGACTGCATCAGAGTTAGCTCTCCATTGAAGGGATTTCATTGGACTTCTGAATGTGTGGCTCTCCGACTTCAACAATCCACTAAACCTTTGTAGGGATTTCATTGGACTGCATCAGAGACTGGGTACTGACCTTGTGTGGGGCACTTGGGTGAGATTGTTTTTTTCTACCTTTGTACATTGGATTCTGAGTTAGTGGATTGGACGCATCGGTGATCGTCCCCCAGATGTAGATACACACTGCATCGAACTAGGTAAACAAACATATGTGTTGATTTACTTTCTGCCTTAGGCTTCTGCATTACGCTATATCTGTTTATCTATCCGAATGACTGTCTAATCGAGAATCTGTGTTAATCAGTCTACTTTTCAGTTTGCAAGAAAGTAAATCAATAATACTAGATTAAGAGAGTTACAATATCAGCGGTGGGTAGAAATATGTTTGGTACTATTAGATATTTAAGTTAGCGATTAACATGTAAATTGACTTAAAGGGTATACATAATAATAATAATAATAATAATAATAATAATAATAATAATAATAATAATAATAATAAAAATAATAAATAGTAGTAGTAGCAGTAGCAGTAGTAGTAGTAGTATAAATTTAAAAAAATTTTAAAAAGATATAGCATAAGGGGAGCCGAACCGGCTCCCCTTAGTTTTATCACTTTTTTCACATCGGTGGGAAAAGTGGCATAGGAGCCTTTGAGGCACCTATAAAAAGAGCATAAATAATAAGCTTGCCCAGGCGTTGATGGGCAAGCAGTGAACCAGCCAAATTGGCACTTGCATTCAAGGAGTCGAAACGATTCCTCCACATTAATTTTTTTTAAATAATAATATAGGGGTGTTTTAGGGAAAATAAAAAGTTTCCCCGAAACGCTAATTGAAAATGTTGCAAATTGCAGTATTTGCATTTTCAACATTTTTGAGAAAATCAATGCTTTAAATCGTTGAATAACCAAACACTTTTTTTTTTTTTTTAAATTTTGACCAAAGTCAAAATGTTAAAGTGACGGATCCGCCATTTATAAAACATACCCACATGGTAAACTAATAACTATTATGGTAATTAAATTAATAAAAAAAATCTTACTTTTGCAACTTTTGCCCAAACTACCTCCCAAATTATTAGTATATAAAATCTATTAATTATTATGGTCGTTAAATAAATAAATAATTACACGAATATTAAGATAATTGACTAATAATTATTATGCTAATTAAGCTAATAATTTTAATAATAATAATATAATTATAATTAAACATGGATTATTGGATTTCATTTATAATTATTTCAATTAAAAGTATAATTACACAAATATTTGTGTAATTGCCTAATAATTATTATGATAATTAAGCTAAACATGGGTCAATGGATTTATTTTTATAATAATTACTGTTAGGAACATTGTATTAGGATTTTGATGATACCAATGTAATGTAGAAAAGTAGACCCCTAACCATTAGCTTTTTGTTTTGCTGCTTTCGTCCTAGACGAGAGTTGCCATAACTCCTCTGTAATTCGTGTTAAGCTAGACAAACACACGAAAATGAGTT